CTTTTAATGGATCACTATCACTAGAGGGTTCATTATTAAAGGTTTTATTTCCTTGTAATGGATCACAATCACTATATGGCGCAACGGTCTTGTGTTCAATTTTCAAAGGAAACACATTCTCAAAAAATTCAGCATTTTTTGTTTCAACAGCGTATAAACAAATAATCACACATGCATCATTTAGTGTGTACACATTCTCCAAAAGTGATCACATTAACAACAACAATAATATACCATAAAGTATTGCGCATTAGCATACTATTTCTTTCATTTAAGAAAATCATATATATGATCCACTATTTCAATTTATGCAAAAAAGGCCCAGAGTTATAAAAGTTCATTTTCACCAAATTAAATAGGTAATAAAAATTTAGCTAAACACCCCCACAATTTTAAATATTTAAAAACAAGGTGCATAGCCCTCCTGGAATTCATAGAGATAAGTAATATCTCAACCTTTATTTGTACACAATGATTTTATAAAAAAAATGCGCCTTTTAAATTCAAATAAGATAAAATTTAGTTTATCTCGAAAAATCACCAATAAATATGACAAAGAACTTTTACCACTTCTAATCACAGTGTAGATGCTCTAATAAAATTTATATAAATTCATCAATCATATCACAATTTTCTAGAGTCATTTTATTTTTGCTAGAAATCAAACCACAATCATGTAGCATTTTAATATAAGAATTACTTGCATGTCCTAGTTTAGCATGCCACACATAGTAAGAATCAATTAAATAAACAGAAGCATTATCATGCAATATTTCAGAAATACTAAGCACAAAAAGTCCATTCTTACAATAGCCATTTCCCACAAGAACTTCATTTTTGGTCATAACAAAATTGCCACAACCATAAGAAACTTTAACCCCAACTTTTCCCAAGAGAGAGACAGAAACCAAATTAGTACTAATCTCGGGCACATGAAGCACATCATTTAGTGATAAAGTTTTCCCCGATGTGAGCTTCAGAATAACTTTCCCTTTTCCATGCACCTTAACGGTTCTAGAGTCCGCTAGGTACACGAGCTCTTCACTATCTCCTATAATAGTATAGGAGGTAAAAACATTTTTGTTTTTACAAATATGCTTGGTAGCCCCGAAGTTTACCACTCACTCATTCACATCACTAGTTTTGCAACTTTGAGAAACAACCGCAATATAATTATCATCACTACAAACCAAGTTTAAACTTGATTTTAGTGGGTTGTTGTTTTCCATAGTTGTCATTTTACCACTAAATAAATGAATAACATTTTTCTTAAAAAATGATGTTAAAGTATGGCTTATTGTAAGTAGGAAAATAAAGAGAGTAAACATTATATGTAGAGATATATCCAAATGCCAGTCTAAATCACACCACACATGCAAAAATAACATAGCCGCGATGAGTGCGACAGCGACACCTTGTGAGATCATGTGTGCAGGCATATCCAACGCCAGATACTTTCTTGAGATTGTTGAAGTAATTCGCCAGATATACCTGCAAAAAAGCGTTAGAAAAATAAAATTGCTCGAGTCGCGTAAACGCTGTCCTCAAGAAAGTATTTCCGACTAGCGAAAACCTTTCCCCAAGATAAAACGAGCTTTTCGGCGTAAGCCGGTAACAGAACAACGAGAGTAAGAAATTATCAATCCAGCAGAGTGGTTAGCGGAAAGATGTTCTCATTAGCTTCTAAATATGAAGAATAATATACGAAGTATTTTCTTAAGAACAATGATGCTCTCTCTTTTTACATAGGAACGTGCAAACATGTGTATATATCAACCAGGCCAGAGGCATAAACGTTAGAGCTTATTGGAGGATTATAAATATACTTTAAGGATAATAAAAGCTAGTAGCTCACAAATGGTTTTCATAACAGCTCTTTTATTGTTTTTAAAACTGATCAAATATCATTTAAGATGCCAATAGATAAAAGAGATGCACGTTAGGAATAAAAACCATTTGCAACATTAAATATGTTATATAAACATTTTATGAACAATTTATTGGATAAAATTTAATGATAAAAAATGAATAAATTAAAACAAGTAAAATATTTATTCATTTGAAATACTCCTATTTTCCAACACCTGAGTTGCGAACCTTTATTTTCAGTTCTGGCCTGGGAGTTTATTTTACAAATCATTTTGGAATAGGAAATATATTAGGGACCGTTTACTAGTAGAGATATTTTATAAATTTTCAAAAAACATGAAAATGAAAAATGAAAAAAAGAAAATGTGTACCGAAAAATGAGATGTTTTGTTTTTCTTAAAGAATTGAAGAAGTCTGTTTTATTAGTTTTCCAAGTTTGAAATACGTGGATGATGCAATGCTACCACAATGAATTTGCTTACTTACACATCGAGGTGGACCCGCTCTTGACCCAGCCCGATCCAATCGATGACTCGGCAACCTTTGTCCGATCATGTCGACAACTTGGCGGTCCCTGTCGCGGTTCAGTCCCCTTTCTTAAATCATTTTTCACAAGAGCTGTTGGATTGTAAATCAACATAAAAAAGGAAAGAATATAGAAACCAGTCGTTGTGACCGCTCGGAACTAGGTGCTTCCGATCCCAACTTTCCTATACCATGGACCGGTACCCTATTTGGTCAGTACCAGATGCAGTTCTAGAAAAGGATCGTACTTTCGGTCTTTCGGTCGGTTCAAGAAGTGAGTGAGAAAAAATTAATGGACATGTTTTTGGATTTGAAAATGTAAAACTGGAAAATGAAAACAGAAAAATTGAAGAACAAAAAATTGAAATCAAAACAGAAAGTTGGAGAACTGAATATAGAAAAGAAAATTGTAAAATATCTCTGTTACTAAACATGCACTTAACTTTTGTGATTGTAAATGTGCTCATTTCTACCACTTCACCATTGAATAGTGATTTGTCTATTACCTATTGTGTAACACTTCTTATATTGTAAGTACACGATAGATAGGGCATGCCACAAGAGGTATGTCTTAAGTTCGAATCCCGACAACTGCGATGAGGAGTTACTATGTAAAATGCATAGTGCCTCTGCAGGTAGCTAATAGCCCAATTCGCTATTGGCAGTTTGAGATTAAAATCCGATTTATATTCTCTAATTTAACTGTACGGCCAGAGCCCTTAGTGGTGCGCGAATATATGTTCTATGCCCGCAAACACTTTGTGGTGCGCTTTTTGACAGAAATCTTAAATTCAATGAAAAACATATACAAAAATAATCGGAGGATGTGCAGCTAATGTTACTTCCTTAATAACCAACACATGCACAAATAATAAGACTAAATTATTAATTCTTCCCACAACATACCATCACACACACACACACTTGTATGCTCATAATATACTAACCCCACACACATGTGTGTTTATGTATAAACTACAAGACTAAGTGACTAACTATATTTTGAAGCTCAAATTATTGGAATGCCATCAAGTCAAGACCTAACTGGAAATTGAAGAAATTAGCAACCATGTGGGAGCTGAATAAACATGAATTAATAATATATAAAAAACAGTTACAACCCACCCAAAATGTTTCACCATTTTAGATTGAAACAGATAAGAGGGCATATAACATCATGAACACCACAAATGCAGGTTCAATGGATGCCTGAACTGGCTTCAAATAAAATTTTGATTTTGACTGCAGAAACCCAACCTGACAATATGTAGGACACTCTTTTACATGTCCTTGTTATTTCAAAACACTTCCTATCCAAAAATGTACTCAAAAGGGTTAGTTTATCGAATCTGGGCTGTTTTCTTTATATTAAAAATATAATATTCATAATAATATTACCCTATCAATCAATGGTCACGTTTCGTCCCGTGATGTGGAATTTAATTTTCCATTCAATTTATTTCATTCACGTTCTACGAATTTGAATTCAAAATTAAGTAATTTGATTTCTTATTGTTGAGATGTGAATACATGAGTAAACTACGAATGTCTAATTATGTTGAAAAGGTCCTGCCAAAACATGCTTTGAGACTTTTGAGTACCGATTATTTTATCAATACTCTTGCAACAAAAAAAGGTCAACTGCATGTGTTGAGTTTAGGTGTTAATCGGGCGTGTCCGGTTCGAGTTCAGCTTAAATCGAGTCGTGCTTGATAAAGAAATGGTTCATGTGCGAACTCGAGTCGAGTATAATTCCAATACTATCTGTCTATCTATTCTAAAAACTGATATACTTTTAAACGATGAGTTCAACTTGTTATACATTTAAACACATATGTGCAATCACTAATAACTTTTTTAAACATAAAAGCATTGTCTCTTAGGCATTAGACTTTCTTGGCATCTACTTGAATGTGAGAATGTCTAAATTCCACATAATAATTTAAGAATATTGTTGAATTACTCCGTATTAAGTAATATGTGAATCTTCAGTATATTTTCTGTAGAATATAAAAACAACTTCTATGAACGGATCGATAGTATGGATATATGATCTAATGCCATATGTATGAATCTAAAAAGCCAATACTAACTCATAATCAAGTGATTTGTGAGCTTCTCGAGTCTAGTTCCTACATAGTTTGAGCTTATCTTGATTTGGTGTAAGTCGAATTCGAGTATGAATCGGATTTAAATCAATTCAAGTAAAATTCGAGTAATAACTGATTTAATCTTGAGTTACTTGTGAGAAGGCTGGTTTCCTTAGTTGAGTATTTTATAAAGAGAACGTTGATAGTGTACTTTCAAAAAAGAAAAAGGATAGAGAGTGTAAACTGGATTATAATTCCAATTTGACAGATAGAGAATGAGGGCTCTGTCCCCGGTACTTGCAGAGGTCCTATGCATTTTTAGCATAGTAACTCCTCATCGCAGTTGTCGGGATTCGAACCCGGGACCTAACCCGGGACCTCACCGGTTACTTTCAAAAAAGAGAGTTCAAATTTTAGTACTTCATGAAGTTATGGCTGTTAGACAAATGGTACTTGGCCGAGAACTCCCAATAAAATTCTCTCTTTTGGTTACATATACCGAGTATATACTTATATGGCAGAAAACTTTTTTTTGGGCAAAATGAGACAAAAAACTTTGTAATTAGATACATCATTATACAAATAAATATAAATAGCCGAAGAAAAAGAGCGTTAATCGCCTCGTCATCCTAAGTATAGGTACACGGATGCCCAATAATAACAAAACTTGGGCTTTATAGAGAGGGCTGACTGATCTCTGCACTAGCTTCTACTCGGGTTAGTAATAATTAGTGTACATTGTTTTAATTTAATAATCAATCCTGTCATTAATTAACTCCTAAACAGAGATTAACGTTGAAATGGTTCGGAGCTTTTCCTGTTTCATTTCTTCTTTGTAGAGTCTGATGATGTCTTGTGCTGTTTTGACAGCGTCAGCAGAAGCGCCCGATAGCCCTCTCCTCGTGAACCCAACTGCGTAAAGCCCTCCTTGTCCTTTCCAACCGTTTGGGAACGGCGCTTTTGGGAATCCACTTTTAGAGAAGAATTCACTTTCCTGTTTCAACCAAAACAAACACGCCCTTAATTAGTTCAAAAACTTCAAACAAATCAACATATGGAGTATTCTCTTTTCTTTTTTTTAATTAGTTCAAGATTCAAGAACTTTGTGTCTCAATTACCTGTAGCCAGTAAGGGACGTTGCTGCGATATCCGGTGGCCAAAACGACGGCGTCGACTTGGAGGCTTTCGCCGTCCACGAGCTCCACAGTTTTCCGGGAGAACTTCTTGATTCCGGGGACTATATTGACTTTACCGGATTTAATCATTTGCAGTCCTCCGATGTCGAGAACAGGGGATTTCCCCTGCGTGTTCTTGAGAGTCAACGGTCCAATCTCCGGCCTTTTAAGACCATATTTCTCGACGTTCCCGAGAATTAACCATGCAAGAACTAGCAGAATCTTGTCTACTAGCCATAGTGGCAGCCATTTCAGCAGTAAAACCGCCAGCTCGAATGTAGATTTACCCATTATTTCTCTTGGCAATACATGAACCTGAGAAAAAAGCAGAGTAAAATATGAGTAAAAACAGAGTAAAAAAACAGAGTAAAATATGAGTAAAAACAGAGTAAAAAACATATATACTGCGTAAGATTTAAAACTCACCGAAGTCCGGCAAACCATGGAAGGTTTAGCATCATGGTTGCAAAGATCAAGGGAGAGTTCCATCCCGGAATTCCCGCAGCCAACTACTAGAACTTTCTTTCCCCGGAAATCCTCGCCGGACTTGTAATCACAGGCGTGAATGACGTCGCCGTCGAATTCCTTCAACCCCTCGATCTCCGGGACGACGCACTCGGCGTTCTCGCCGGTGGCGACGATTAGCCACTGGCAAATGTACTCAACATCTTCGCCGGCAGGGGAGACGGTCCGGACCTTCCACATATTACTCTTTTCGTCGAACTTAGCGGACTGGACGCATTCGTTGAACCTCGGGGTGATGTCGAAGTGTTTGGCGTAGGATTCGAGGTAGTCGATGAACTGGTTCCGGGAAGGGTACTCCGGGAAGTGGTCGGGGAAAGGGTAGTTCGGAAGCTGGCAGAATTGCTTAGGAAGATGGAGTTTGAGGCGGTCGTAGGTGCGTTTCTGCCACAGAGAAGCAATGCAGTCTGCCCTTTCCAAGATCACGTAAGGGACGTCTTTCTCTTTCAGGCAAGCTCCGACGGCGAGCCCGGACGGGCCTGCTCCGACGATGACCGGACCGTTGACCCACACACATCTCCGGCCGTCTGAGGATGAAAACGAGAAGTTAAACATGGTTCTTCTTCTTGATTCTCAATGGTTAGCTCGATCTAAATGGCTGTGTGTGTGGTGATGATTGAGTAAGTGATGTCAGGAATGGGGTAGATGATGGAAGTGGTGCAGGGGAATGGGTTTAAATAGAGAAATGGAGTAAGCTATAGCCCATGTGACTGAGATGGTGCAGGGTCAATTTCAAGTCCCGCTCACAATTATTTTACAAATAATTTTATAAATAATTACCCCAAATTACATTATAACAATACTATATCCTTTTAGTAGGAGTGGACACGTTTGATTAATCACATTTCGATTAACCAATTATCAATTAACCATAACTTCGGTAAATATATTTAAAATATCATTAATCATACCATAACATCGGTTAACCGAGCAACATTTAATCATAATATAGGTTAATCATTAATCGGTTAACCAAACAACCATTTAAAAATCAACTTTTAAATTGTTTGTGTTTTTCATTTTAGATTTATTATAATTTTGACACCTTTCAATAGTTTAGGAGTGCGAATTTGACCTTTTTTGAAGTTTGTTTAACCTTGAAAAAATGAAGTTTGAATCCTTTTTTTGTCGGTTCGGGGTGTGAATTAGGTCTTTTTTTAGTTCAAAGACTCAATTGACCTAGCAGGTCCATTACAGGGACCTATTTGACCTTTTAGCCGATACACATATATGGTGCAGAGTGCAAAAACACAAAAATATATTGTTGTCTACATATATAATGCCTACCATAAATCAAAATCCAAATAAAACACTCTATGAAGATAACTCACTTATTAGAGAGTTGTATAAGCACGGCTCTATGATGATAAAAGAGTGAACTGAGAGCTTGATTGGTAAAACTGGCTTGCTTCACTTGCTTAATGGGTATTTAATGTTCCATTGACATGTGTTATTGCATCCTCGACAATGCTTGTTTCCACTTCAATGCTTGTAGGCAGGTTAACTTGCCTTAAAATTCTATGTTTTCTGATGTGCTTAAGCTTGTAGTTGTTGCCACCATTGACCTTAAGCATTTCACTCATCAACTGTTTTGCTACAACTTTTGTATTGCAATGACTGAATGGAGTTGAAAAACCCCAAGTTCAATACATTTAGATCTGAACTATTAGGTGGTTGCATAACCATTGATATATCCCACCCACCATAGTCTTGTTGAATGATCACTTTCCTACCCAACCGTGATGGCCGCTTACTTTTTATAGTTGGGATCAACTTGGTTAGTAACATGTTCCTCTAGATTGTTTTTGTTACTGATAAAATGGATTTGGTTTTCATTCTATTTTTTGACCTATTTTTGTTGTTTCTGGTGGTTGCTACTTGTTCAAAAAATGGCTAAATGCCAGTTTTTCCATCAAAAATAGGCTTTCTCATTGCACACAAGAACATAACTTTTGTGATAAACCTCTTTGATTTTTCCTGTCTGGTTGTTCCTCACCTTCATGCAAATATAATCATGTCATCACTTTAGTAATGTTAAACATTTTTCATCTATGTGAATATAAGCACCAAAGTCTAGAAAGCTTGGATTTCCCTAAAATGAGGAAAGGATAAGGTGTTGTAAGCAAAACACATGTCTTGTCTTCTTATTGTCATCAGTTAAAAAAAGTTTTACATATGGTGCTTGTATGTGCTTTCACTTGTTCATTTGCTTCATTCTGTGAAATGTGTGTGATTCTTGAAATAGACATGAGAAGTTGACCTGATATTTATCCTTTTGCTTAAAGGAATGTCCTTGAAAGTGTTCAGAGGAACACACATTCTTTTTCTGCCTACGTTGCCAATCAATTTGTGACTGACAGCTATGCCCTTCCCACTGTTTATCTGGCTTCTTACCAGACTCCATATTCTGGAAATTGCTCTTCTTGAAACTTGGAATTTTTCTGCAGCGTTATTTATAACCCCACGCTGAAGTTCGCCAAATCCATCAATATTTTCCAAGAAATACTCCTTTATGTTTTCTCATTCTGTATTTGACAATCTTTTTGTTCTTTTTGCAGATGATTCAGGCGTGGAAGCCATTAATTGAAAACGAAATGTTAGATAGGGTTCAATAAATGGTGTGTTTGTAAATGTAAAGCACTGTGTAATTTGAATATGTGTATTGTTCTTTCCCCAATGTTTTTGAACTGACCCTAATGTAAAAATGAATGTTTAGGAGGGAATTGTGAAGTTGACATTAGTTTTTCCTCCAAAATGAAACTTAATGATGTGTGGCTAGAGTTATATACCTTGTGCATCTCTAATGTAAGGGAAAAAACAGAGCTATAGTGCACATATGTAATGTGACGGAAAATAAACAAAGGGAGGGGGTTGGGATTAGATACTCATTACATGGGTGAGCATTGATGCTCGTAAGGGCAAAACAGATTTTTAACCCTTTTTCTTAATATGTGAGCCTAAAAAGTATGTGACTCTCATTTTGGGACGGAGGGAGTATGTATTTTTCGTTTTTAATCTTTTTTATAATTTTATTATAAATTAATTAATGTTATTTCTTTCATGTTTTAATTATTAATGAAAGTGGTTGGGGGTTTGGGGCTTGGGGCTTGGATATGGGTATATTTATCCAAACATTAAAGTTACTCCTATTCAAAACATGGTGCTCCTATTTTTACATCTTATCCATATTTTACTCCTATTTGCGGAATTCACTCAAGAAAATATTGAAGAAAAATGTTGAGGAAAAAATGGAAAAGATTATACTCCATATTTCGTAGTCCCTCCATCCTGAAATTAAATTCCTACTGTGAGTTCAGGTAGAATAAAAAAAATTATGTTGACATTTCAAGAGAGCCCCTGGATAATTAAAAGATGTAATATTCAAATAAGTATAATGAAACCATATAAGAGTAAGTGAAAAGTGAAATGAGGATAACACATATCAATTTAATGAAGTGGTATGAGGTTAAAAGTTACTTTAATAATAAAAACTTAATAAATATAAAAAGAAGTTTTGAAAGGCGAACTTTATTTTATACCATCCCGAAAGGAAAGGTGAAATTTGATTTTGGGATGAAGGAAATAAAACTTGTCAACACACAACTTTAACCGTAATTATATTTAGTTATGTATCAATAAGTATAAATTCAATCGGAAAACAATTAAATAAATTATTGAAAGAAACTGCATGTTTACATGTATAGTTCTGCACAGTATGTTTCAATAATTTATTTAACAGCCTTCCCGATTGAATTTTAAGCTGACATTTGGTGGACATAGACTAGACTTGATGAAGAACATGTTCAAAAAAATCATCAAAAACATTCATCGACCACCGTGAACCACCCCAAATAGTGAATTCCGCACGGGGGTTGCAGTCAGGAGCTCCTGACTCGAACGGGACTATATGTGCGCGCGCAAGTGTGTTAGTAGAAAATCATGATCAAAGTAAGTTGTATAATAGTATAAAAATGGCAATGTTACAACTTTTTAAAAAAGAAAAAAGCATTTATGAAAATACTTGGTACAACAAATTTAGTACTTCGTATTAGATTCCAACAAATTGCTATACAAATTTTTCCAGATGAAAATATGTGACGGATCATCATCATAAAAAGAATAGTACACCAAATTGCAATAGCATGTATATCTCGTCTGGTGATTACTTTTTGGGTTGACTAACATTATCACCCATTTTCATAATATATGTAACTTTTAATTTCCATATTAAATTATGTGATAATCAAAATAAGTAAATCTTAGAATTACTTTTCTGACCGAATTAATTGAACCTACCGGAATCTTAGTATCAATTAGATTCCGAACTCGTGTGATACACGAACAACAAGTAATAAAAAGGAATCAAATCTCATTAAATCTAATTCTTTTATGTATGTACTTTTCAGTAACTAAACAACTTATTTTATGTTTGGACATATTTATTCATATGTATAATAATTTTTATTTGGTATTATTAAATTAGTTTTAATGATAGTAATTATAATTATCAAAAAACAATTTAATCCATGAAAGAATAAATACATTTGTCAAAAACACAATATAAAGTGATACAAATAATCGTATGATATTAAACAGATTCTAAGTGAGGTTATATAAAATTTGAAGCGTATAAGGAATCATCACATTACATTAGTTGAGCTAATGTGCAGCTAAACACACAAAATCTTAGGATAACCGATCGATAGTTTGATATTGTAAAGTCTAAATCATTGTTATGCCGGCCAACCTCAGGGGTGGTACCCTAGCTAATTTGGCAATCACTAAATGGCTTTGGGGAGAGACCCTTTTAAACATATAGGCCTGATCTCATCCGGTAGGACCAAAACTAAATAATTTATGTTTTAAATCAAACCTCTAGTGGCAGTTGATGAACGTAGGGGTTTACGTAGGGATGTCAACGGGGTGGATCGGGGACGGGTACATATAAAACCGAAACCGCCCCTTGGATAAATGTTTGCCCCGAAATTACCCCATTATCCGTTCGAGTAATTTTATTTGAATCGGAACCCGCCCCAACGTGGAATCGGTTTATGAGTTTATCCACGGGTAACCGTTTCCCCATTTCTCTTAAATAAGCAATTTCTAATCCTAATGTAAACAACCTTCATAGTAAATTATATATTCAAAGTCCCATTTTTTTTTTCAATTTGCATCCCATTTTGTATACACCGTACCCACTTCGTATTCATTTTCGCAAAATCTTAATGATGTAAAAAACTATAAAACTAGGCCCCGAACAAACTCATCAAACTGTAATACACACTCTGTATTAATAACAAGATAGGCATCGAGTAAACTCACCTTACTGTAATATACACACTCTGTATCAACCACAAGAAAACTTACCTTTGACAAAAGTGATTCCGAAAAGAGAAGAAAGAAGGAACCGGGTAGAATCCTTGATAATGAGAGAGATTAGAAGCCACTGGTGGTAGAGCCAAACTGCAGGCCTAACATCGTTCCATCTAGAAGAATCGAAGAGAATTGTTCTCACCGCTAAGAAGCAGAGCCATGAGCCGTAAATCTGTATTCCGTGATGGACTCTGAGTTAGGGATGTTAGGGTTTTTAAAGTGGGCCTCTGATGTAATATTCTTTATGTTGGGCGTGTTTCGAAAAACAAAGAAAATA